TATCGAACAATACTTAGAAGGCTATATACCTAATTGAACAATAGAATCCGTTCGACGATCGTGACCGTTCAACAAATGTATCCGTTTGTCGAACGGACAATTCAAAAATAGGCCCACTGTTGTCTTCCGTCTCAGCACGTCCGTGACTCTACTAACTGGACGTCGCAATATGACTACAATAAGACTGAACCGAAGACCATAAGAGCCGAAATACCTAAAAAAAAGGGAACAACAATGGGCCACTCCTAATGTGCCGCTCGTTAAAATTCATAAAAAATAAAAAGGCGAGAACAAAAACGATACATACAACATCGAGATAACAACTGGGTTTTTAGCAGGCTCCGTTATTACTTGACGCCGCAACAGGTTGATAAAAAACTCTTTATATAACTTTATTATTAGTAATGAAATTTCGGTTTTCTTTTTAATTCAATTTTTTTACATTTGGATATCTCTGTATATTGAACTTTTTAGGTTTTGACATTTGGATCACTCAGTATACTCAAAATTTTGTAAATGTAACATCTAAATTACACTGTATTTTCAAATTAATAATATTATTACATTTGTTGCATTCTATAACTATATTATTAATAACTAGGCTCCGTCTAGCTGGGGCTCCGCCCCAGACCCGGGGCCCTTCGAGCCTTACGCGCCTTCGGCGCGTAAGTCTCTTCGGGCCGTCATCATAAGTAGGCCACTGATTCCGGTAGAAGTACCCGGCTATGCCGGGCACGATAAGCGTTTTTCAGAAAAAATATTACTTCAGAATGAGTGAAAACTATATCTAAAAATGTTATTATTAAAATCAGGAAAATTCAAAAAGAGAATATAGTAAAATGTATTGGGTATAAGGTTGTAGCCTCTTAATGAGGTATTCCCTTTAGGCCTATTCAAAAATTATTTTAGGAGGAAATTTAATATTTTTTACTTTGTTAAACATGTTATAGAAATTTTTTTGCTAAAATTAAAGTCCTGATGAAAAAAAAAGGACATTCAGTCCTTATATATTAGAAGTTGCCTAAAAAAATATTGCTAGCGCTTGTTCAAGGAGGGGCCAATCTCTCTTAAATACACCCCTGTTATACACAAAAATTATTAATAATCTAATTATAATAATTGTTTTTACATTAAAGAATAATTAAAAAAAAATTTAGCAGGTTATTATAAGTGGCACACTGTAAATTTAAAATAAAATTAATATTAAAAATAAAAATATAAATTTAATTTTGATAAATATATTAGTAACTGCGATTTAACGATGAACATCATAGTTATCATAGATGAACCCCAATTCAAAAGATAAACTCATAGTCTCATACATCATATATGTGAAAAAAGAAAATTATTCCTTGATAAAAATAGGGCAATTGCAAAATAGTGTCTTAATAATAATACATAATACACCATATAATTAAGGTTCATAATACGTATCAGCAGAAATGAATCACTGCGCATAATAAAACCATGCGCGTGGATTTTTTTATCATATCTNCTCTGTATTCTAAAATTGTTTTGTTTTTAATATCTAGATTACCCTGTATTTTTAATTTAATCAGATTTATACATTTGCAGGACTTTATAACTTTATTATTGGTAATGAAATTTGGATTATTCTTTTTAATGCAATTTTTTGTTTTTACATTTGAATCGCTCTGTATATTTACTTTGTTGGTTTTTACATTTGGATATCTTTATACTCAAATTGTTATTAATGTAATATCTAGATTACACTGTATTTTTAAATTGATAATATTATTGCATTTGATGCACTCTATTTCAGCCAGAAAATCTGATGATTATAAGTTACCAAATCATGGTCGAAGCTTAAAATTTATCTGTGGGACTGTAGTCTCATACATTATTGCATTATTCTGTATAATATGACTGGTGTAAAGTTTCATTTGCTTTGTCTTACCCGAAAAAAACATTATACTGTGTACAAATTTTAATTATAAAATGTGTTGTAATTATATGTACTACATTTTTTTAATAGAAAAAAGATCCTATTTGCTTTTTAAAAGTTAAGTTGACCTCGTGACAAAATCTGAAGTTAACACCTAATTAATAAGTACCAAATCTTAAGCATTAATACCATAAATGTCAATTCCTAATTTAAAATTTAAACTGGAATTAAATTTAAGAATAAAATATTACAATTGTAATATTTAGTTTAATGTATAGTTATTTCACATTAATTAATTTATCATAATACAGTATATGATTTTTATACGTTTATATATTACTAAAAATAAATCGACAAAAAGTAATTTTAATACAAACAAAAGTGTTATATAATCAAGAAATCATGACACGAAAAAATTATAAATATTTAAAATTTTTTATTAAAACTAAATTAAAAGATAATTGCAAAAACGACAAATGAACATCAATAGGATGAAGTGGGGTAAATATAATTATGGGTCTTTTTTTTCATAGAATATTTATAAAATTTTATTTCGGATTGAAAAGTTTTGTCTTATATGTGTAGCTATCATATTAAATGTAAATTCAAAAAAAAAACTTGCGTATTTATCTAAAAAACTACATTTACAATTACCACACTTCACCCTAAATAAACATGAATTTTTTATAACTAAATCAAAATTAATTTAAAAAACATATCAAAAGTACTTAAAAGTTAAACAATATTATATAGGATAAAGGTCTAGTGGAGTTATACTTCTTGTTTTAAATTTAGCCCCTTCATAAATATAGCAAAATTATATGTATTGTAATATAAAAATTATTTTTTGGAGGAACAAAAATTAAATTAGGTCCCCAATCCCAAAAATTTAACAGCCTTATGACTAGGACTAGTGATTAAGTAACTATTCACATTTTGTTAAAATTTAACATTTTTATTATAATTATTTAATATGTAATTACTATAACGTTATATTTTAAAAATATAGTAACCCAACCGTAAAAAGACTGACGGAGAATATAAATTTGCACATATTTCGTCAGATAAAAATGTTAAGTAGTCTAACCGTTACTTAAACAGAACTGAACGTCATGATTGAAATGGATAATATAAAAGTAAATAGGCATTTTGAACAAATATAGTGACCCACAAATAACTAATTCCTGTCTAAAATCAATTAAAACTTAAATTTTTGGTATTGTAACCTTAAATAATAAAATACGGTCTTAAAGTAATTGATCATATTTTAACCAACTATTTATTCAAAATAAACACTAACTTATAAGTACAAATAAAAATAAAGAAATTTACAATGAATCAATAAGAAACATAAATGTATGGATATATATGAGCATTTAAGTTATTAATTTTTTTACTTTCTCATTTTATACAAAGTTGTTCGATTAGAAATTTAGAATTGTTTTTTCCTATCGCAATACCGCGGTTTTTTTTATTTTAATTAATTAATATTATATTATCACAGAATATTGGCCAATAGTGTGTTTAACGTAATACATACTACATGTGTGCGTGTCATCACAGTGTTTGTATAATACATATTAAATTGCACTAACATTGGAATATGTCGTTAGAAACGATAGAGTAACTCTTAACGTTTAAAGTAGACTACAAAAATTTTCATTACACATAAATACGACATATACGTATATTTAAAATAAATAATAATAAAAACAAATTAATTACATCAATATTTCAATGTTCAATACCGCATTTCCCTGTTAACACATAAGCTAATTTTCTGTGGAAAATAATTTTTAATATAAAATTATTTATCGTGTTACTAAAACAGGGGTGGAATGGTCAAAGAGACAAGCAGGTAATTATCTCCCGAGCCGCCATCTTAGAGCGATAGATTCATTATAATTAGCGTAATTCTCAGTTTTGTAAAAATAAACATTTTTTTGGCTAATCATTTAATATCATTATGAAAAGACCATTGAGAAAAAAAAAATTTTTGGATTAAGTTGGGCGCCACAATTATTGTGCCCCTGAACCGTTGACCTCACATAAACAAAATGGACTTTCATGACATATTAGATAATTTTACGCTTTAAAGTCATGTAAAAAATCGATGAGTAGTAAGTACTAACTATTTAATTTATGACATCTTTTATTGTTCTATTTCAAATCATATTTTATATAGTTAAATTTTTTAATTTAAGTATATGGTTTAATTCACATCATTTTTATGTTTTTTGTTAAGGCTGTAACTTTATATTACATCTTTAAAATGTTTAGTAATAAAGAAAACAACTATATTTGTATTATGTATAATAATATATTAATTATACATAGGCGTAACAAGAATAAAACTGTTGGAGCTTTCTCCATTCTCCCTAGTTGTGCCTATACTTAAATATCATTTTTATATTAAACAATATTTATATAAAAAGGCCGTAAATTATTCAGAGCTTACAACGACATACTGGTTAAATCCGGCACTGAATTCACACTGAACATCACAGAACTTACCGCTTTCTAATATCTTCATTTTAGAAAGTAAAATTAAAAACTACAGGTATGCTTAAAAATTTGTATAAAAATTCTTAGCCATGATTAAATTATTAATATACCATTTTTATTGTTATATTTATAATTCACTTCCAATAATTAGTTTATCTTCTTACATATATCAAGGCTTATGAAAAGATATTTAGTCCTTGATAATGTCTCACAATACCATGTTCTTAACTAGTTCATAAGATCAATTTGGACGAAAGAGATGGGTTTGATCAAGTAAATTACAAAAGAGAGCCATAAATTTTATAATAAAGGCAAAGGAACTCTTTTTAAAATTATAAAATATAATTAAAATGAAATATTTTATAACCTGAAAAGTATTTCTCAGGTTTTTAACTTTAAAATAACTTTACCTTAGATCCGTTTTTAATATTCACATAATTACAAGACACACTCCCGTTGACCTTTCTTAAATTCAGGACTATTTTAAGGTTTGTACTAAAACTAGAGTAAAAGTTTACGGAATAAGAGTCCAATATTGAAATAAACAAATTGAATGTTATAGTTATGAATAGATGGTTGATAATTATCAAATCTTTGACCATTATTACAAGTTTTTTAGTCGTTACCAAAATCATCGAGATAATAATGAATAAAGTATAAAGATTATAAAACTTTTTATACTTGTATATTATACTTCACTCTTTAAGATTACTACTTTGTGTTCATAAAACAAATTTGTAAGATTTTAATTTTATTATTATGGAAATATAATGTTTAATCAATATTGAATATAATGACATAATTTTATTTTCGAACATAATTTATGGCATGGGATTAAAATAAAATATTTTAATTTAGTGTAGAATACCTAAATTGTTCTGAAAGAATACATTTTATATTTATTTTAAATAAATTATATTTGTTCATTATTATGTTAAATTTGAATAATTCAACTAACACATTTTTTTCAAAAATGTTGAAGTAATTTTCTTATTTTTTAAGAAAAATATGTATTCCTAAATGACTAATTGGCTCTTTTTTCATCCATTATATTTAAATATTATGATATTGAACTACAAGTTTACTAAATTAAATAAACATAGTCATTACTTTAATAATAAACATTATTTCGTTATTTTAATAAAAAAAAACTGTTAAACAATTATTTATTTATTAATCAGCACATTAAAACTTACTTAATACAAACTGGACTCTTTTCTCATTGATGGAGCAAGAGTCAAGCTTTTATTTTAAATTTTATTTCAGTTCATTAAATAAAGTTCAAATCTCACAAATTTCACTTAAATTTTATTTTTTGATAGTTTTTCTAGATAAAATAAAAATAAAATGTTAATGACTACCATATACTGCAAGCTATAAGCAACAAAAAAAAGTGGGCACTTTTACCCCAGGTTATGTCAAAATTTATATTACCTAAGTATTTAGTTTATACTTCCTATAATAAATAAATAATCAGATTAAAAATACAACGAATACATATTTATTATTATTTTGTTTTCATATATAATATTCAAACGATTCGTTGACACTGGATAATTCAACACAATTAACAATTTATTTTATATTTCTTAATAATCACTTGAGCACTCATTTTGTGCATTGGTAAATTATGTAAATATATATAATAGGTACGGAAAATTATTATAAAAATTCAACTTAATCTATTCAACTCAAATGGACAAATCGATAAAACAACAGAATATTAATTATAGCATAATAATAATATATGAACAGATGTTAAAAAGTAATGAAAAAAAAATTACATATTTTATACTCAAGGTGCTACTTAATCAAAGAGAAAAAATGTATAGAAAAAAAATCAAACATAAAATGTAATTAATAAAAAAATATTAATTTTCTATATTTTTTCAAAAGCGTTTCAAAAAAGATTTAATGAATACCCAATTTGTTATCAATAATGATAATACAATAATAAGTCTATCAATTGAACTTAATACACACACGAATTAGGTACATTACTTTTTTGAAACGCGTATCTACAAGAAAAAATTATATTAAAAAAAACAATCACACACAAAGATATAAAACGATTTTCTTTTCTTTTAATGTAAACCGAAAAAAATAGTGATAACATTATTTTAATTCCGAATAAAAAGCAATTAAATTATTATAACCACGTATTACTATAATAATAAGAAGAATACGAATAATAATAATAATAATAATTAATTAGAGTAATAATAATAATAATAATAATAATTATAATAATAATTGTAACAATAATATTATTATTTAAACACACATAAATTGAAACCAAAGCTAATTCATTTTTAATAATACTAATCTATGTCCAATGCTATTATTTTATTGTAAAACTAAACAAAATAAATATTATCTACACCAACGTTGAAGTTATTAAAAAAAAAATTTAATGGGTTATACAAAATTGTCTCTATGACATTATGCACGCACAAAATATAATCAATCAAACCACAAAAATAAATAAATAAAGAAAAGCCAATTGTATAAAAATTATGTAGTGTATCTACTGGAAATGGAATTATAGTGGAAGACAAAGGAGTTCATCTTATATATTGCGTTTGAAAATCCCCATACGCGATTGTATCTTTGACATAATGTATTAACCAATTAAGAAAGCATAAAAAGAATAGTTATAAGTTCTCATAAATCATAAAAGTACAATGTGTATGATTAAGGGATTCGATCAATCTTCTCAAAATATTTTTAAATAATCATTTTGATTCAGTACCATAAAAGTAGTACATTAATTAAATACCGACTGCGAACAAATTTAATCAAGACTTAAATCATTTGTAAGTATAGCAAAAATTATAAGTACAAAAACTGTCCAAAGTATGGAATACCAGTTCTTTTGTTTAAAAGTAGGTAAAATGAGATCGTTTACAACCATCTATAAAATGCTTATTTTTTTCTTTAATTACATACGATTAAAATAATAATTTATGTATTGTTCGATATATTTGTTTTTGTTTCAATGTTATACTTACTTATAAAATATATTACGGGAACGCCAATAATAATACAACGGTGTAATTTTGTTTTTCTCACCAGGGAAGTTAGTTTCAATTTAATTTCATGTATATTATTTAACATTCACTATTCAAATTAAGTATGATTTGAATATGTTTGATTTAAAAATACGCCATTTAAAAGTACATTTATATTCATTCAACAAAACTAGATTATAACACCATAGACGCCAAAATTTTTAAGAAATGTCTGAAATACAATCACAACACAAACGAACCAATGGAAAAGTTCCAAACAGAAGTCGAATATGTGTTAAAAGTACTATTAAATAATATCAAAACATCAATATGGCACATCAAAATAGTGAATGTATAGTGTAAAAACGATTTGGTAGTTTTGTATACTCTTTGTATTCATCAAGAATATACAAATGTGAAAGTTTACTAACGACAATAATAAAAAAATTGATAAAAATAGAATCATACACGCCAAACAATGATTACAAATTCAAATGTATTTGTATGGAACATTTCAAAAAAAAGTCTATACTTCCAACAATTATTATTGTGTCAGTTATGAAGAGGGTAATCGGAATGAATTTATCATACATGCTCATATTTGTTGTCAACACAAGAGAAATTAATGCACACTCGACAAAATATTATAACAAAATAAAATGCCAATAGATTGTAGTTAGCTCCAAGGTATTTAATTATACACTTATAATTAATAAGTATTAGCGATTAATCAAAAAGATTTTAAATTTAAGATTCGCCATTAGAATTAATTATCACTATTATACATATAGAAATATTTAAGTTGGACACTGTATATTACATTTTATTAATTTAAATATAGTTAATATTTAAGATAGTTATCCCCCCTGGTAACTTCGAAGACCAATGCCCCGCCGCTTTAATCATATTGTATACAGCGTGTCGCTGTTTAACGGTTGAAAAATCTTTATCAATTATTATTATTATATTATAATTAAATCGTATTATTACATTGTTAGAAAAAGAAGGTTATTAATCTCTTACATACTTAAGTAAAAAATATTTAAAACCCTGTTTAGAATCTTATTTAATTTGGAAAGACCCAGATTTTTTTTTATTTATACTTAATTTAAGTGAAAAGAAAAACTATTTTGTTTTACAATCGATTTATGTAGTGCACTCGTGGAATAGACACATAAACCAAGTTACTATCAATATACAATGATTCTAAATTTGCAGCACCTATAAATTATCTACTAAATATTATTATAATATATATATATATATATATTGTTGTTAAACTCGCGAAAAGTCAAGACTAGAATAATTAATATCTATTTAGAAACTGAAGATTTTTAAACAAATAGATTTGTATATAAATTGTTGATCAAATCGAATATGAAAATGGGTCAATAAAGTGACAATTAATGATTATGAAAAAGATTTCGGCAAAAATTCTAGTGTACAAATAAATAAAGGAATTATAGTTCTCCTATAAAAATCGCATTAAGAGTAAATATAAGCTTATATATAATATAAGCTATAATTTTTACTTGAGTAACTTTTGATTGTTTTCTCGTTATACAGGTTGGTAATAGACAATAAGTCCTAAACTAAATCCAAAAACGTTTCCGCATTTATTTAATCAACGCAAAATATTGTGTAGTATTATAACATCAACAGAAAAAACCCATAGTTTCGGTAACGTTTTATTTACTTTTCTACATAATAAACAAACATTAATAATAACTACATTATATGATGTAAAATAATATTTTTCCTACAAATATTTAACTACTAAGTTAAGCGAAAGAAGTTTAAAAAGTATAAGTGTTATACACGAGAATAAGAAAAGCTGCCCATTTCTAGCATTGAATAATTGATAGTGCAAAGCGTTGAAGTGTGAATATTTAAAAAATAATATCGTAATATAAGAAAGTTACGATAAAAGTGAAAAATCCCGTCACCATAAGTCAAAAAGAAATTTTAAGTTCTACGAATAAGCATTATGTAATAAAACTATCATTTCATTTTCCAATTTTATCGTCAATGACCAGTTGATGCCCATATCGACACACGCATCCATGATAAGTATTACTATGTTAGTAATACTTAGGTGTATGTTACACCTAATAGTATTTAACATTTTAGTATATTTCACAAATACTTTTTCATACTATATACTATAGTCACATATTAATTATATGCGAACTTATTTGGACAGTTTAAAAATTGTAATTAAATTTTTTACGAAATCCTCACGGCATGTGCAATGAGATCAATAATTATTAAACTAGAATGAATTAGTCGAGTAATATCTATAGTCAAAAAATACTTAAGATTCAAAAAAATCTTTTAGAAAATATTTTCATCTATTTATTTGAACGAAGTAAGAAACACGGGAAAACTAAATGTGCGACAAAAATTTTGATTTACTAACAAAAGCTAATATATTACTGACACATTGACTAGAATTCTTCAGAAAAGTAAAATTTGATCTTCAGTTAAACATTAAAATAATAATTGATAATATTAAGAAGTACAGAGAGTAAAAATATTGCTTCTTTTTTGTTCGTACTAATTCATTCACAAAAATAGTGTCGATTAAGATTAAGAAAAATAAAATGATTTAATGGTTAATAACACATAGTTGATGAATTATGGAAAATCTAAAAACTTATGCAATTACTATGAAAATAAATTATCTTATAATCAGTTATAAATTTAACCTATTATGAAAAATGAAATACAAACTAATTTTGTGCTGTTTATCTACAACTAAGTGTACATTTTTATTTTTTAACTTCAGTCAAATATTATTATAATGTATCTAGATTTTTTTTTATTGTTACAAGTTAATTGTTTAAGGTTTTTAAAATTAATAAAAATATTAGAGTATTCATTAATACTGGATAAAATTATTTTTTATATCATTCGTTTTGAATATTATAATATGCCAAATTATTATAATTATTATTATCATTAATGTTAATAAATGTAAGAGTAAGATATAAATATAAAAAGATTAATAATAATACGTTTGCAAGTTGTAAAAGGAATTGTGATCATTACAATAAAATTTAAGTAATAAGAATCAAATACAATTTTTGTCAAACAGAGATACACATATTCATCAATTTAATGAATGAATTTTTTAATAAATTGGTGAGTATATTTAATGTAAATACACTAAATTATTATGTACACACATAATACACGCACACATATAAATGGAATTATAGCAACAAAAGTATATTTATAATAAATAGATGAATTTTAATTTAAACATATACACATAAGTGTGCATACATATATACGCATTTTTAAATAGGAATATCTTAGACTAGCAACGTTAAATTGAACAGAATACTATCAGTCAATATGCTTGCGCAAATATTAATTTTATCTGATCCAAATAAATTATAAATGAAAAAAAAGAATATTATTTTAATCAATTAAAAAAAACAGTAAAAAGATGTTGTTAAAGATATTAATATTATAGGTACCAACAATAATTATATTGCACAAACATTAACAAAATGTTATTTTTTTGTATTTTTTAAGAAATTATTAACATTTATGATTATTTTGTTTAATGAAAAATTATAAATAAAATTTAATATTATTAAATGTATATAGAATATAAATATATATATTTATATACATGACGATTTAGAGAGTAATTATTATTTGTTAACCATATTCAAATGACGCACGCGATTTTTTTAGATGTATCTAATTAAAAATATAATTAACATAAATAATCATAATTTACCTTCTTCAATAGTCATGATAAAGTGAATTCGCAAGTCAGTTAAAGATGTTTTTAGAAGGGAGGATTATGTTAACATTCGAAAATATTCGAAGAAGATTGATGAAATTATTAACAGTCAGTTAATGAATCAGCAAGAGACATTAACAAACTGGATGCATCTCCTTTGCCTAGAAATTACAACACGTACAAATTATTACAATGTAGGTGTATGCCAAGTGTATGATCATCATAATCATAAAATAAAAAAAAAATAAAATAATAGGAAAGAATAATGTACAAAAAAAAAAAAGAAACAAATCAAATGAACCATACTATACATAAATAATGTATACAATGGGTAATTGCACTGAATGATATTTGTGAGATATTATTTGTACTATTTATTCAAAATTTAACAAGATAAAAATCACCCTTCATACAAATTAATCAAAATTGTCACAGTAAAAATATATCAATGTAAATTAGTTAATATTAAGTCAAGAAAAGTTGTATTTATAATAGTTATAAAAGAAATTAACATATGATGAATAAATAAAGATTAAATAGAAGATTAATTATTGAAAAACAATGTAATAATAATAAAAAGAATAACAATGTAGAAAAATTTAGAAAAATGAATGGTAAACAATTACATTTTACAAAATAAATAAGTACATAAAGTATTTATGTACTCATATTCAAATATTGTTAACCTTGTAAAATTCTTTTGTTAGGACAATTTCATTTATAATTAAGTAGTTTTTTAATTATTTTGATAATTCAATTGAGATTCATTTTATTGCGTATTAATATATCTAAATCGTTTATGTTGTTATTACCTTTATTAGTCTTGAACGATACTTGAAGTACACGGTTCCCTAACGTATACCCGTTCAGAGACTGAATGGCAACCACTGCTTCATCGTAATTCGTCATAGTTACAAAACCAAAACCCTTACACTTATTTGTTTGTAGATCTCTAATGACTTTGACGCTCTGTACAGCGCCAAAAGGCCCAAACAATTGCCATAGTACATTCTCTTCGGTTTCTGGTGCTAGGTTATACACGAATATACACCAGCCACTGCCATTCATTGAATTACCAGGTAACATAGAATTTGCCAGCAGGTCACCAGCCAAGGGTGAATATCTGAGTGAAGCGCAAAATAATAAAAATCAAATCCCAAGATTTTCAAAGATGTCTAGTTTCTATAGGCACAACTAAGATACGAATACATACAACGACTTAAAATATTTTGCCACAGTGGACATGATTGTAAAATGTTATTCTATACTAATATAAAATGTCATGCACTCAACTATTTTAGCTTCTTATGTTTAAATTTGACACTTGAAATATATATCGCATTAAACCCAATCAACCTCTTAAATGGACCCTAATATTATAGTTTCTAATAATATACTTTTAAATATTTAATAATTTTAAAGATGAAGTTATTTCTGTTTGTAGTAAAATAATTCGCATACAAAAACAAGTCATTAACATACCATACAATGTAAATGATTTACACTAGTGGAGTGACTATTGTTTTTTTTTTTTTTTTGGCTGATAATATTTTTTACAAATAGGGGGTACTGAGATGTCATATAAGTTAAGTATAATTATTCAGAAGTAAACTAATAGAATTAAGATTATAATTTAAAATTATTTAAACACAATTTTAGACTTAATCAATTATTTTTATAAATCAATCAGTTATAATTTCAAAGAACTATTGTTATAATTCATAAAAATAATTTTTAAATTTTCTTAAAATTTCGAGAAGAGAGCAACATCCAACCCACTAAGCTGCTTTGATCACACATTGATATATATATTATTTCAGAGGTAATAAATAATTGAGTATAAAGAAAAAATCAATATAATTTCATTTATTCATAAATGATTTTATAATTAATGTCTTTAATTTTTCACAGTAATGATTTAAATTTTCAATTTGAAACATCTCTTTTAAAATAATAAAATAAAAATTAATTTATCATTTAAAACATATATAAAAATTAGAACTTCATTTTTCATAAAAATTAAATATTATCTTATAACTGAAATTTTATAAAAAAATCTAGTAAATTAAGATAGAGTTATCATTGTGTTTGCATATAATTATTGTAAGAGCCAATATTACAAATAAATTCATTCAGTAATTAATAAACTATAAAAAATAGTTATAAAATTAAGCGTGCAAATCTATCAGAAGTATAAGATTTTTTAAGTGAATATTTGCATTCAAACTACAGAAATAAAAGCACTATTTTTATTGTGATATGAATAGGCAAGAGTCAAGAACACAAAAATTTCATAAATGAAATTATACTGACCTCTGTAACCCTTTGTTTATAGCTAGCATGGTCTTCCCAGTGCTAAAACAAAATAAAAATTACAAAATATACATAAATTCATATGACGGACATAATCTTTATAAAAAACAAAATATAAACTGCGAAAAATAATTAAATTGGACAAAGGACACTAAAAATTGTTTTCTCATCATTTTAAATAAGAATAAAAATTAGATTGGAAAACAAATATAAATATTCCAATGAGTATTTTTGAATGTCTTTTAGTATACATTCATTTTTAACCAAAATCAAACAAGAATTTTTTGAACAATGATTTGTTTGATTTATCAAATGTATCACAAAAAAAAAGTCATGTAAATAAAAAATATGTGATTTCGTCATTTTTTTGAGTTCAACTGCTTTTTTAAGTTTTATAGTGATTTTTATTACAGTGAACAATCATAGGTAAACCAAGTTACAAACAACAAGTTTCAACAACAATATTAAAGTTTTGTTTATTTTATTTATTTATTTTTATAAGTAAAAAATAATTTAAATTCATAAAAATTTAATTATTTAAAATAAATGATTACAATAACTAGGCAATAAATAATATTTTAATTATATTAATAAAAATTTCCAAAATTCTTTCAAAGAACTTTTAACTTTGGGTTAATATTAAGTTTTAAACAACTATGGTTTTATAACTTCACCCATATATAACAGTATCTCACTAGGGTCTGTCATCATTAATAACTTTTGATATGGCAAATATTTTGATACCTTTTACTATTTGTTTCCAATAAAAAATGAATAATACTATTTTTTTAGCATTTTTCTTACACCAAATTTTGATAGGTCATTATCATCTTTAAGGCTGATACTTATTGAGTACAAGCATTTTAATACATAGAGTGGGTATTTATAGTAAGGGGATTTACATTATAAATACGCACCAGTACGAACTAATCCATCCAGCTATTTTGAAATTTCAAAATAATTCAAAAAAGTAATAAATAATAATGATAAAAATATGTTTTTGGCATAGTTGAAAATAATAAATTAAAACAAAATAAAAATGCAAAATATTTACTTAATTAAATGTTATTACAGATGTCAGATCAATGGTGAGACACTTTGTATGTATAGAGAGAAAATTAAAAAAAAATGTTTAAATAGAGTTCTTAAAAAAATGAAGAAAGTTTTTTCTATTAAAAAACTAAAAGCTGAACCCAAACAATGACATTGGGTAAAATTTTAAGAAAATATGACAAGGAACTATTGCTGTTGATTGAAAAATTGAAGAAAACTACAAAAAATAAAAAATTTTTGTAATTATTAATAAAATATTTTTTATGTTTATTTGAACATATGTATAGATAAAATGATAGTATAACAGAGATAAAGATAATATAAAAAAATTAAAGGAATGCAAGTCTAATATAATTGTTAATAACATTCATGAAAAAGGTAAAAATATACTAATTTATTTATAAGAACCAACAACTTTATAAGAGAGATGTAACACTTTACTCCTATGGCAGACATGTAAAACTAATATCTTCATAACTTAAGTAAATTATGTCTAAAATTTAGTTATTTATCTTATGAATAAAGCAAGCAAACTCTTATAAGAATAAAATTGACAATAACTAGTTTGAAGAGTTGTAGTTTATTTATTAAAATATACATAACATTTAAAAATTAAAATATCAAGCATACATTTGGATTTAACAAAATAATAAATGTTTACAAATCTGCTTAAATAACTTAAGACTTATGTGACCATTGCTATCTGTTACTAATTATGTTTCTTTTTTATATTATTAAAATGGATAAAAATACATTATCCAGGATATTACCAATAATTAAATTAAAAAGAATTTAACAATAATGTTTTTTTTGTTTGTAATAATAAAAATAAAATAAAAATGAAAGAAAAAAATTCAGTAAGTAATACTAAACATTTCTTAGGATACTTTAATTAAATAATGTTCAGATTTTAAAATAGGTTTATATGATTAATATAATTTTTATTCATTTATAATTCATTTTTAAAGTATTATTATTTAGATTTTTTAGATATTATTGTATATATTTATAATAAGGTATAAATAAAAAATTAATTCATCAGAAAAGAAATTATTTAATTATATAAAAATATTATATTTGTTTTATTTAATATACAATCGAACAATTTTATTAGAAATATTTAAATTTTATGAGGGTTAAATAGCACTAACTACCAAAAGATTAAAATTTAACCTGTGTTTGAAGTTGTTGTNACCAAAAGATTAAAATTTAACCTGTGTTTGAAGTTGACAAAAAATTTTTTATTTTTAAAATATTTTTATTGAAAATATTTATTATATTTTTTAATTTGTACATCAGTTTACTTCTTTTAAGAATAACTTTTATACTTAGCGACTAAAAAATTATAGTACTATTTGAGATTAACTTTTATATATTATATAAAAAGAAAACACTTGAAAAAATTTATTACAGTAAATTAATATTTATGAAAAAAATTGAAAAAATAGTTATTTAGAAGAAATTAATGTCATTTATAAAAAATGTATTCTTCATTTACAAAATGTTTATTTTTATGTNTCATTTATAAAAAATGTATTCTTCATTTACAAAATGTTTATTTTTATGTGTATTTATTTTTTTTTTATTGGTTTTAATGTATCCTAATAGTTTAATATTACTGTATAAAAAATGAAGAGAAGAAATGGTCATACCTGGATAAAGGGGAGAGTGGAATATACCTGAAGCGCCCAGTTGGGTGATGAATAGGGCCAGCAAACCTTCGTGCACCTTGAGGTGTTAGGTAAGCTGCTAATGCAGGTACTGCTTTATTACTGCTAGGATTGTTGGCAAATTTCACTGTAATTGATTCTGTAGAACCTTTAGGAACAGTTCCGTTTAATTCTTGAATTGCACGTTCAGCTTCAATTCTTTGATCAAATCGTATGAAACCAACTCCTTTAGAAATGGCTGTAAACATACAACCATAATAATATAAATATCTATTAAAAAAATCAATAACTTTCCAACTTTAAAAATTAATAAATTGCATATCTTTCACAAATTATAAGCTGTTATGCATTAAAAAAATATAACAATAATTTAAACATTTTCTATACTTCTATAAATATTTTTATTTTTAACAGTAACTTGTAAAATTTTGCTTGTATAAAAAACTGATATCTTCAGTTCTTTACATAGTATAATCAAGTAGAATTGCTCATTTTTTAATAATAAAAAAATTTTTTTACACTTACTTGGTGAATGGTCTCCTCCAGCATTACCAACAAATTGCCGCACTGCGAACATATCAGTAATATCACTTCAATTAGAATATATACGAACAAAATTAAAAAAGATAATGTTATTAAGTTATACTTACCAGTCATATTATCACATAAAATTCTAGATGTTATTATTCGACCATAAGGACTAAATAAATTTTCAAGGTCTTGTTGTGTCATATGTTTTGGAAGACCACTGACATATAAATTAGCTCCTTTAATAGCTTCACTACTAGGTCTAGCAAATGATACCTACAAAAAAAAAAAAATTAAATACATTTTGTTAAAAATATGTACATATTCTCACTTTAATTGTTTTATTTTGTAATCTTAATCCATTAAGAGTATTGATTGCTTTTTCTGCATCTTCAGGTCTATGATAGTTTACAAAACCATAACCTAAACTTTGACCTATAAATTTAATAAATAATAATTATTTATTTTACAATCATACAGTTACACTATTTTAAATTTAAAAAAAGTGCTGAATTTAAATTAGTTAGTCAAAGTGAAATTTTCAATATTTCAATCAAATGTATGCATTTATAGAATTTAATCATAATTTTTATGCATAAAACTAATATTAATAAACAAACTTCCATAGATATAATTAGAATAATAGTATTCTGAAAAAAATTAATTTCAACTACACTTTGAAAAATATGTTACCAAAATAAATTAATGATATAATTTGAAAAACAAAGGTGAAAAAATGTAAAACAATAAAATTAAAAAAATAAACTAATATTCAAAACAATTTTTCCTTTTAACTTTCAATCACATTAATTCATAAAAAATTAAATTATGATAACAGTTTAGTTAGATGTTTTAAACTACTAAAAATATTTTAATTAATTACATATATATATAGGGTTCTATTTTAAATTATAGATAAATAATTAAGTTATTAAAAATTCTTTATTTAATTGAATTAAGGTGTTAGTTTAAATTAATACAATATCATTTAAATGTATATTTTATTCATAAATTAATCCTAAATGCATTTAATTGTTTTTATTTCAGCAGAATAATTCAATTTGTAGCTAATCATATTATTTGCTTTACAATACCTGATGGAAGAGTTCCTGTGAAATAGCATGAAAAAAAAAATTGACAAATGTTAAAATTTTATTTTTTATTTTTTACAATATCTGCGATAAAATAATGACTACAAAATAGTATTTATAACAAATTTAAAAAATGTTATGATAAACTTTTTCTTTATGATTTAATATATTTAATACTTTAATATATTCAACAAACCCTACAAGACAGTACTAATTAATTTATAATAATTGGTTGAATAAATTATTAAAAAGATACAAATTTTTGTATTATAAAATTTTTTTTAAAAAAGTTATTCAATACCATAATTTTTATTAATTAAAATTAAGTATTTTAGAATATGTAATATAATAGTTTTATCAATTTTTATTAACTATACACATTTTAAAGAAGTTACCTAAAAATTATGCTCATTGTTTTATGTGATTGAGAGTTATAAAAATAAAAAAATTAATTAAAAAAGAAAAATTAAAAAACAACAATACTGATTAATAGAAAATATACTCATTAAATTTTACTTTTTATCTAAGTGCTCTGTGTTTAAAATATTTTTATATTATTTTGCATTTTCTATTATGGACACAAGTAAATTTATTGAGAATATTACAAACAAAGTAGAACTATGAGAATTGATTAATTTATAGCAATAAACATCTATAACTCTTATTTAATAAGAGCAATAGTTTTGATAAAACTTTTATAAATTTTATAAAAGTTTTATTAAATAGAAGTTCATAATTTTATATTTCTATTGAATTTTAAAATAAAATCTTATTTTGAAATTACCAGCTGTTATTGTCTGATAAAATAAAAAAAATTGTAGAAACAAGATAATAAAATTGTAAAATTGTTAGTATTAACTTTGTAAGGATGAAATAAAACTAATTTATTTAATTTATCTCTGTAATAAATCAATATAATTTTTTTTTATTATTTTACTGTAATACTTTCAAAATAAAATCACTTATATAAGACATTTTATGAAGTACTAATTTATTTAATTTAACAATACAATAGTAAAATATATTGTTAGAAAATATTTCAATCAATATTATAGAAGCTACCATCAAAGGTAAAATGTTTTTACCTTTTATTGAATGACAAAATTTAGTAATTTTAAAATTTATAACAATAAATTACTCACCTGTTACTTTATCTCTAATTAGCTTACAGCTTTCTACTTCCCCAATAGAAGAAAATAAAGATCGTATTTCTTCTTGAGTCATTGTTTGAGGTAAGTAATTTACAATAAGATTTGTTTTACTTTCTTCATTTAAAGAATTTCCTTGAGATGAGCCATGGGAATTTGTACTAGAAGTATGTATAGAACCATTATGTGGTAATGAATCCATTCCGTTTTGCATCATTCTTCTTTTAATAGGTACTGGTTGATTTAACAAAATTTGTTAACAATAAAAAACAACTTTATCTAAAAAAAATGATTCTTATTAATTACTTTTTTTAATTTCAATTAGAAATCTTAAACAAATAATGTAATTTGAATACAATAGACTTTAAATTTGGCAGAAATAATAAAAAAAAAAAATTATTAAATTATTTCTTAAAAAAAAAAAAAAAAGAGTTTGAATATTAATCATTTTGAAATAAAGTAATGCTTTTGAAAAAATAAAATAAATATATTAATTATGATATCGGAACATGGCCATTTATGGTCATTAGGGTGGAACGAAATATTAAAAATGTTGATTTCTAATAGNTTATGATTACACTCTTGAACAGTTGCTACACATAATTTTTATAACATATTTTTATAATTACTATAAGAGAACTAAGAAAAATTAACTTATACATTAATTAAATATATATTTGCATTCCAACTTTCGTGTTTCTACCTTTTTCAATATAAAAGATTAAAGTTCATAAATAAATTAATATTTTTGANCTTTTTCAATATAAAAGATTAAAGTTCATAAATAAATTAATATTTTTGAAATGTTCATTTAAAAGGCATTTATAAATACTCTTGGTGTACATACATTTATTACCATAAACTAGAATACAACTTAAATCATTATTAACTACTATATTTTGTTAAACTGAGTGGGAAGCATTTTATTAGATAAAATTTAAAAATAAAATGACATCAAATATATGCTGTGACACCTCCCTTTAAAAAAATGTATGTGTGCCACTAATATCAAAATAGATTTTTCAAAGCAAGATAATAATTAGTTTTAATTTTTTTATAAAAATTAAAAAAATAATAAATTGAGATGTCACAGTTAAATTATAAAAATGCATAAAGAAAAGTAATTTAATATTACACAAATATGTTTTTAAAATTTAATTATGCGTTAATAGGTAAAATAAAAGTAAATATGAAGTAAAACGTGAATTCAAGTTAAAGTAATAACATAAAAATAAAATATAATACCTATGAAATAACTATTAATAATATACTTATTTTTTGTAAATTTAAAAATGTGTATAATTACCGCTTCAAAGAGAGAAACGGAAAAACTAATTGTCAATCAAAATACAAGACACATCATATTGTTTTAGAGGCATATCTTAAATTCATTGCTTTGGATAAAAGTAAAAAAACATTTTACTATACTAATTTTACGTGATTTTTAAACGTTATCAACTAAATTTTCATCCGTTTACCATATAGATGATATTTCTTTAAATCTAGCTCACATGCAAAAATATAAAATTAATAACAATAACATGTAAATTAGAATAAAAGCCATCAGCCATATGTCTGTATCAATGTTTCGAACCATAAGACCTACGAGACACACTGCTGTGATAAGATAAGAATAAAATACCGTGCTTATTGTACTACTCGATCAATATATCATTTTTAATACTTTCAAGGTGGTTGTATTTAATAAAGTCTATGATATGCTGTATAAATCGTAATTTTTTCAGTTCACTTAGACATTTCCATATCTTAAAATGTTATATTTATAACTATGTGTAGATAAAGATAAGAAAGACTACACCACAATTATTTAACCCTAGTATTGCCAGTTTATTATACGACTGTAAGAACTACTATCTAATGGTAAGAAACGTGAATATAATCACTTTATCGGCTGAGAAGAATAGATAATGCATACAAATAAATTTAAAAAAATAGAAAGTGCTCCTAAATAAATCCTTATTGATGAGCTCACCATAAACTAAAATTTTGCCATAAAAATTATTACCTAGTTTTCGTAAGCGTAATTTCAACAAAATTTTCGAAGGAATTTATACGAAATTTTACTCACTAATATTACTTTTTATATAATTATATGTTTTTCTAAAATATTGGAGTGACTTAGCCCCTTAAAGCTCTTACAATTTGCGCCTATGCTAATTGCGTTTCTAATATGTATAGTACATACAAGTGTCTTGTATGAGTTTAGCAGGACTAAGGGCTTGTAGTAAGGCTTGCCACGAGGCATGAATTCAACCTAGAATAATTATGTATTAAAGATATAATTTGGAAGAACAATGATAAAATCTTTTATAACCATCCCCATGAAAAACAAGCGCATATCAAAAAAAAAGTTTTGGAGTTACTCATTTTACCATACTTAATTACAAAATATTTTTATATCATAATTAAAAAGTTTGACTTTCCAAAGATAAAACTGACATCTTACCTTGAATCTACATAAAATAATTTTTCATTGGATAAAATTTAACATCAAAACTTCGGTCGAATCAAGTCATGTAAAAACGCAATATTAGAACATGATATTACGTTCTAATAATCAAAATTTTTGTGAATACAGTTCTGGAGTTATATGGTAGTAATATTTAAAATAACTAACTGAAATAAATAAATAAAAAAACATGCAATTTTGGTGTTAAAATTTAAGATTTCAGATATTATTAGTTAAACTTTTTCAACTCAATTTTTGAAAATTATTCGGAAATATTGACACTTTTATTTAATCTTAAATTAAAGTTTATGTAATATACTACGCTACGAAAAAAAAATATCGAGATATAGTGAACATGGTTATCATATTCAAAAAACCCAGCACAGTGGGGACATGGCATAGTTGGGTTCAGTATAGATGATATCCGACAGTAATTAAAATCACTATCATAAAAAAAGCTTCGATACAAATCTGTAGATAATGTTTAATTTTAAAAAATTGGTGGATTATTGCAAAAGCTACATGATATCCTATTTCCTTATTTATATTCTGATTACTAGTTTATGATTTATAAGTGTAATATATGAATATATATATATATTTATTTATAATATATAAGGGGAAAGGGTCCGATTAAAAAGAAAAGTATGTTGCAAAAAAGAATAATATAAATAGTACTTATCTTAAAGAAATTTAATGATACATACATTTTTCAAAAAGTTATAGCATTATAAAGTTAAAAATATAAAAAAGAATTATTTTACAAAAATCGTATTTTTTTTCCATAATTATTTATATTACATAAGCTTTAATTTAAGATATATATAAAAGTGTCAGTATTTCCGAAACACTTTCAAAAGTTAAGTTGAAAAAGTAGTCATTTTGTATCCTCCCATATGGGCAGGTAAAGGTTAAATTTATAAAAAAAATATACCAAATGATAGTTAAAAAAAAATGTATTGATTTGGTCATTTTTAAAAAATGTATGGCGTTTTAAGTAAAAAAAAATTCGAAAATTAGCGATTTTTAAATTTGTAATATTTTTAGATATTTCTCCCGTTTACGAGGAACGAGTAAATTTTTTTAATTTTTGAGGGTAATGTCTTCGACTAGATACGATTTGTGATCTTTTAACGTATCGTTAAAAGAAATCAGTTCAGTGAGAGCTGAAAAAGTGACAACAGACACAAAAAAAAAACAAATCATAGTAATTGGTAAAGGATTCATATTTATCTTGTGGCCTACCTAAAAGCAATTTCAATATAAAAGTTTTTGGGCTGAAATATTAGTTAAATGAATATGTTCACACCTAAAAACATGTAGATCTTATCTATTTATTATGATTTTTAATTAAAATTGCTCAAGTAAATAGTTTTTAAATATTTAGTCAGTTAATTTCATAATAAGAAATTATAACTTGCCTAGAAAGTGAATATTATACACATTTTCTGGACAAAAATTATAATTATACACTCTAGGATGCTCATAACTTATGACCCTATAACGTATAAACTAATTTAATGAGTCGTATAATAATTTCCAAAGGGGGAGACAAATTACTTTTTTCTTTGATAATTTTTTTTTTTCAGAAAAGCATCATTTTTGATACAATCTTAATTTTTCAAAGAATCATGTTCCTTTGGTCCTCTTGTCACTAAGATCCCTTGTAAACCACATATTTCAAATGTAAACAAAGACATCATACAAGATATATATAAATTTAGGAATACATTTTCTTCAATATTTTCTGTACAGTACAAAAACGATCTAACAAAGTGTAATCACAAATTAAGACCATCGAAAAATAAAGATTGCACCATAATTTATTGGACCAAAGCCAATAATGTGTTCTACAGGTGTAAAACTATAAAAGACACACATATTCTTGATCGAATTGTTGAAAGTTTTAAAGATTTTACTTGGTTGCTGGCACCCCCTACAGCGCAAGCGTACAGTTGTTAGCAATAAGAGAGCTATGTCGTTTATACACAAAAACTTATTATTTACTATATTGGAAATATCTAATTGATTTATTGAAGTTTTTTACGTTCACATTTTTTCTTTTTATTAACATTGAAAATAATAAATGTTTAAAAGACAATATTTTTAGAGTTTATTTTATGAAAAAGAATTTTTTCCAATCAAACCCAGTTGACGTAAGAAATAATCAATACTCGTGAAGAGTTTGTTGGTTTACCCGCTAGGAGGAGTTTAAGTGTAAATCGCTGAATAAAATACTAAACTTTTTATTAATAGACGGATCTTATACAATTATGTACTTCATAAACAAATGAAAAGGGTATAATGTAAGAATTTTTTACAGCAACATAATTAAATTTTTAAATTAGTTTACATGAGGAATTCGCCCACACGGCCCTAATTTTAATTATCTGGTTATTCTACTCTGTAGAGTGTTCTACTAATCTATTATGTAGTAAATTATTATAATACTTCAACAACCACAATAGAAATAATTTGTCAAAATATTATTAGTAGATCCATTAAATTATCACCTAATTTTTAATTTAATTTTGAGTAAAATTAAAAATAAAAGTGTGCTTTAACAACCCGTTCAGTAGGGTGGTCGGGAGAGTTCACAATTTAGTAAAAACAATTCTAAGAAGTATTTGCCTCATAAACGTAGATAGAGGGCTTATGGAGCTGCAGTCCCCCTTCTCCCCCCAAAATCACCCTATGACTGGAGTATTTACTAAACATTGTATTTAATTATAAGCAAAAAAAAAAATTATATTTTCACTTTTCCAAGATTTTCAAGTCTTTTAACATTATGGCAACCATGTAAATATCAAAATTTGGTTTTATGTACTTATTCTTAATTATTTAAGTTTAACATAATTTTTAAATCTAAAATACATTTGATTTGTTAAAATTAAATTTTAGTTACTCGCACCCAGACATATATATTTTTCAAGTTTAAGAAGTTTTTAAAAGAAAATAATAAAGTTGAAAATATATAAGAAATCATCATTTTAAATAATTATAAATTTTACTCCTATTTATTTACAATAAAATTTATTTTTAATGTATATTAAATTATATATCAAAAAATTAATTAAAGGTTTAGTATATTTTAAATTTAATTATAAATTTACTTTCTTCTACATGCCTTACTAAGTAAGAACTTGTTCTCAGAAACAAAAAACAAATCCAGAAAAGAATCCATAAACAAATTCTGTTGATTGAAAATATATAGACCCGTGGTGTAGTCAGGATTTATTGAGAGCATAGTCAGAAAAATCAACATGCCAATATTTTGGACATTTTTTCTACTCATTACTTCACTTTGAAGATTAATATTGCAGTTTATGGGAAATTTACCCAATTTGGCTACGTCACTATAAGTAGATCCGTATTGAGTAAGTTGCTTATTGAAGCAATCAGTTCTCCCCTTAAAATGTTCTTGAGTGATTCATAAACTAATTATTATTATTAAAACTTAAAAAAAAAGTAATTTCATTTTAAAATATTAGATTTTAGTATATTTTATAGGTTTTAAATTAAGTATGTTATAATTTAGTAAGTTTATTCACAAATAATCATTTATTAACGATAGCCGGAGTAATATTGAATATTTTTAACTTTTATCCATCTCTGCTCTCTTATAATTTTACTTCTCGAAATTAAGAAATAAAGATTTACCAATGAAAGATCAATGAGCTTTTTTTTAATCATCGATTTTTGAGTACCTAATCTTAGCATAAAAATGATTCGATTATAACTCACTTCAGAAAAAAAATTCTGGTTACGCTATTGTATGTATTCAACTCCTTAAAAAAAATTCAAACACTGCTAAACATTTCAGAAGGATCATGACCCCTGGATACGCCATTGACCATTTTAACATATTAATATTTAAATACTATATTTAATTTTATTAAAATAAATATAAGCACTGTATTTTTTAAATCATTTATTTCTATACAAAATTATTTGAAATTTTATAATATTGCAATACGTGTTTTAATTTCAATAAATCAAATGTGGAAAGTTCAGTAATATTACGATTTCAGATGCGCGAAGTTAGGGGCAAATCTCCTTACTACCTCCCTCGTTAATATTTATCATCTTAAAGATATACTTTTGAGCAAAGTATAATAATAAAAGTTCATAAAAATGAAATCATTAACATCTAGAAGTCATTTCTTATTTTTTATAATTGTTTAATACTTAATAGCATATTTATAATTTTGTCCTGGTTGTCTTATATGTACTAAACTTGTATGTACATTTGTCGACTAAAAAGGATTAAACTGACAATTTTATTAATTTAATCAGTTTTCGTGGTGGTAAAATATTCCTTGCATATTTATTTAAGATCCGACCCAGGCTGCTATAATAGTGTCATAAATTGTAATACCTAAGTACTGAATCTTCACTATATAACATAATCTCCATAATAGTCAATGTAAAAACTGTTTTTTACAGTCTCCATAACTAAAATCATTGAGCAAGTCATATGTAAACACTTAAAACGACTATCCTCAAAAGTTGTTTGTATTTTAACAATTAGATTTCATTATTTTAGTTCAAAATCTAT